GTTGTTGCAAAAGGAAATGGTAGTGGAGGATCGCAAAAAAAAGTTAAAAGAATTTTTTGAAAATAATCTTAATAAAGGCACAGAAGTAAGAACGATTTGGGATGCAAGCAAAGCTTTTATAAGAGGATATTTTATGCAACATAACAGTAAATTTAAAAAGAAAAGGCAAGAGAAAATACAAGTGATTTTGGACAAGATAAAAAAAAGGAAGAGTTTAAAAAGAGTTTAAAAATATCCCTAGAGAGGATAACTATTACCTACCAAATTAAGCTTCTACAGAGGCAATTATCTATGTTAACAGAGAGAGACATGGAAGTAAAGATAAATTATGCAAAACAAAGAAATTTTGAATTTGCAAATAAACTGGGGAAATGGTTGGCATATAAGTTGTGAGAAGAAAAAGAAAAGGAAGTGATACTAAAGTTACAAGAAGGAAATACTGTGATAACAGATAATGCAAATGTGCGAAAAGTGTTTCACCAGTATTATTCTGCTTTATATAAAGATCAAGAAATTCCCTTGGAAAAAGTGGATGAATATTTACATAAACAGAATTTAGTGAAAATTACAGAGAATCAGAGACAAATATTGAATGGACCTATAACAATAAGGGAAATTTGTGAAACTATTAAAAAGACTAAAACAGGAAAGGCACCTGGTCCAGATGGTCTGCCAACCTCTTCTAATAAATGTTTTCAGGGTGAACTTTTACAACCTTTACAACAAACAATATTATTTTACAGATTGCAAAGTTTCCTGATAGCTGGGAAGAGGCCCAATATAGCATCAGTACCTACAGAGGCCCAAGAACTGACTCTAACAAGAAATTATCTACCAATATCTTTATTGAATAATGGCTATAAGTTGTTTAGAATGATTTTGGTTGAAAGGTTGAAAATAATTTTACAGAACTTTATTCATGAAGATCAATGTGGGTTTTTACCTAAAAGACAATTACAAGATAATATTAGAAATGTGTTGGATATTCTGAAGTATTTGGAGCAACACAGTGAAAAGCAAGCTGCACTGATCTTAGATGCAGAGAAGGCTTTTGATAATTTGAACTGGATGTTCTTGTTTAGATTTTAACTTTGGAGATAATTTATTAAATGGGCAAGATCGATTTATACCTCACAGAAAGCACAAATAATTGTTAACGGAGAATTAACAAAACCTTGTGAGATTCAAAAAGGGAGAAGATAAGGATACCCTCTGTCTCCACTCTTGTTTATTTTAGTTCTTGCGGTACTGAATGAGACAAGATGAGAAAATTGTGGGAGTAAAGATTAAAAACGAAACATATAAATTAAGGGCATTTGCTGATGACCTGGTGGTAATTTTGGAGGATCCGTTAGAGGGAATAGAAATATTAATTGGAAAATTAAAGGACTTTGGTATGCTAGCAGGTTTTAAGATTAATAATTAGAAGGCAAAGATGTTAACAAAAAAAATGAAAATAGAAGATCAAAGAGAACTGATGGAGAAAACTGGTTTTAAAATTGAGAAAAAAGTAAAATATTTGGGCATTGTTATGACAAATAGGAATTGAATGTTATTTCAAAATAACGATGTTAAGACACGGAATAAAATTAAAAAGGACATGTTAAGATGAGAAAAAATAAAATTGTCACTGTTGGGGAGAATCTCTGTGATAAAAATGAATGTTTTGCCTAGAATGATGTTTTTGTTTCAGACAATACCCGTTTTGACAACTGATGTATCATTTAAGCAATGGCAAAAAGATATATCTAAATTTGTATGGCAAGGGAAAAACGATGAGTTAAATACAAAGTGTTACAAGATGCAAAGGCAAGAGGAGGATTGGGTTTAAACAATTTGAAATTGTATTTTGCAGCTTGTTTGGTTTGGATGAAAGAGTGGGTGTTGCTGAGAAACAAAAGATTCTTAGAGTTAAAAGACTTTTTAACTTTTTAGAGATAAAAAGACTTGAGGTTTGGATGGCATGGATATTTATGATACAATAAAGTTAAAGTGGATTTTAAAAACCATTTTATTAGACGTGCCATATTGAGAATATGGAATATAAACCCAGGCTGTGCCCAAAAACATCTCTATGGATCTCAGCACAAGAAGCATTTTACAGAAGAGAAACAACAGGCAAAGATAAATAGTTAATGTACCAGGAATTATTGGAAAATCATGAAGGGGAATATAAAATTAAATCAAGAGAGCAACTAATGGCAGAAGGATATAATTGTCAATGGTTTT